CACTTTACTTTTTAAATATATTCTTAGTGATTTTTTTTTTCTTTTGTTTTGTTTTACTATGGCATTAAAAATTACAGTTTTTACGCTGTATAATTGTTATTGTTTTTGCCACACAATTTTTTTTTTTTCAAAAATTTTTGTATAAAAAATGACTTCTTGTCTTCTTAGAGAAGAGGAGAGAAAAAGTTTGCTGTACATTGGTAGTGAAGTTAAGGGTCACAGTCACGAGTTTTACATGCAAACGTCATTGCTAAGTAGAATTCAATTAAATAATGTCATAAAATAATAAGCTTAATCTGTAAAGCAAATTTCCAGATGCTTATTGCATATTCTTTTCTTGCAGAAGCGTAGGTACAGTTTTTTAGAAGACTAGATCAGTCTTTTTCTCTTAGCTTTAAACGAAACTGTGGTACATTAGTTCAGACCAAGCTTAATGTCAGTTCAACTGAAAAAAACTTTTGAGCTATGTCACCACTGTCATTGACAAAAACTGATTTTCCTCTTTGTTATATACAATAGTCGTCTGATCAAACAGAATAAATTGGTCGCAGTTATATATCATAAACCATTACTTTTTGCAGATCCTATAAAAATCCCATGCTTTACAGCAACTCTCTTAAAATTTATTTTTTCTGATTTTAATTCATTTTTTGACAAAACTGACTTGTCGCTTAACTGGCAAAATATTTATTTTCTTATCACATTTCTTACAAATTTTATTTTCTTATTTCAAAGTTGATTATTTATCTGCTTGCTTTTTTATCTAGAAGTAAGAAGAAAGTGCTTTAGAGGTGCTACCTGCGACTTCTGGAAAACATAAATGTTTCTAAGTTTTTTAACACTGTTAAAAAATTGACAGTAATAAAACTGAAAAAGATTTTCAATTCAAAAGTGACATATTGTGATAAAATTTATTCTGCTTTAGCCATTGCAAGTTTTTTAAATGAATATTAAAAAAGCTAAAGTTGTTTTTGATGTACTTTATAAACCCTTATAGTTTTTAAGCCTTTATAAATCAAATTTTAAGGTTGGTTTTTATCTGCTAAAGGTTTACTGCTTAATTGCGTATTCGTTTGACAAATTTTTGGTTTTTTTTTTAGTTTTTCTATTGTCTATCTTGTTTGAACTGACTACTAAAATTTTATTTATTTTTCTTTGATTAAGCATATCTAAAATCAAAGCAGAATATTTAACTGCCTATTTTTATTATTTACTTGAACATTTATTTTACTAAAAATTTTATAAACGGCAACAAATGATGTTAATTTAAATTGACAGTTTATTGGCACTGGTGTTTTGGCTCAAGTGATCCTTGGTAGAGGTCAATATGCATCCGTGCAAGCCAACCTCGGCTGGGGTTTCGCTATTGCTTTGTCGGTTTATTCAGCTTGGAAAACATCAGGTACAACTAACTTCTCATTATTTACGTCAAATTATGAATATTTACATGAAATATGTAGTTTGCCTCGTATTTGTAGCAAGTTTACAGCAAGAATATTTATATCAGTTTTTCTTAGTCAAAGTGGTTAAACAACAGTAATAATTGTGAAGGTAAGAGAGAAGTGTTAGGAAGTCTAAGGGGCGTTTAAAGATCGTTAAAGAGGAGTTAAGTGGTTCTCGCACAATTAATGCGGTAAATCTCAGAAGTCAACGATCGGAGAATTACTGTTCATTGTGAGAAAAAAAGATTAGGTCAAACATTTTGCTTCTAAAAATGCGGCAAAAATTTGACAGCTAATTAAATTGCTTTAGAAAGACTAGAACTAATATTTTTTTACAGATACCTGAGCGGTTTGGAACAACTGCAGTGCAGATTTGTCAATTTGTAATAAGCACAGATGAACGAGGTGAAAGGGAGGCGTAAGGGAACATTCGAACTGTGGCACGTGTAGAATCTGTACATCATTAAGGGCGTTCAAATCAAGGAGAGTTGAGGAACGCTGATTTCAAGCACTGCTGTTGATTTAAACAGCTCAGATGTCTACTGAAAAAAAAAATATGGCGAAGTATGTAAGAAAAAAATAATAGTCATGAGTTTATAAGGTTTACTTGCAAGGTTAAAAATAAGGTTAAGAGTTTATAAAATAACTTAACTAGCAGCATTAATTCAAATTTAAAAAAAAAAAAACAATTATGCAAACAATTTCTTCTTGTATAAAATATCAAAACCTACGTAGACCAACTTACTTTGCATAGTTGCTGTAAATGTGACTTTTTCTTTTCTTTTTTTTTTCTTTTGTATTTACACTGACAATAAATAAAGTTGATTGATAGTTAAGATTGCTTATAAACATCGTAATGAAGTAGAAGAAAACTGATCTACTTTTCAAGTTTATGTCGAAAGACAGGATGATCAAGTATAATAAAGGTCTGTCTTAGAGCCAAAAAAAGGAGTTATTTATGCAGTTTGGAGAATTACCATAAATTTTTGAATAATAAAAAAGATTTAAAAGTTTTGGAAAAAAAGTAAGAGCTGAAACTAATTTCTATTTTGCCTTCGTTTAATGGCAGTATAAAGGAAGAAAAGAATTGAAAGGAAATAAGCATGAAAAGTTTTAACTAGAAAATGTTATAAAATACTGTTCGTATTCCTTACCAATAGCCAATTTCAATATTATTCATTCTATTCAGACAGGTTAGTAGCATTTAGGAGGACATGTAAATCCTGCAGTAACAGCGGTTCTGTATATTTTGGGCAAAATTTCTTTCACTCATTCACTGCTGTACTGTGTCGCTCAAACATTGGGAGCTGCAGTTGGTGCTGCTCTATCATACATAGTTTATGTTGGTATGTTTTTCTATGATATTCTACCAATACTTTATCCCCAACAAGTAGCTGTCAAATAAAAAATTATATTATCCTGTGAGAAAGATTTTTTATTTTTTGTCAAGAAAAAAAGACAGATTTACAGCCAATATGTTTTAGATTCTCTTTTTACCGGTAAGTAGTTATTTACTATTTTCTAACTTTTTTTTTTGAAAGTTTTATCGAAAACCATTTTGTCTTTGGGTTTTTTAGTACTCTTTCAAACTTAGTGTTTGCATTCCACATGTTCTATCAATGCTGAAAGATTTAACATTAACTATTTTTATTATAACAGAAGCAATTAATGATTTTGATGGGGGCACTCGATCTGTATTTGGAACTAATACAAGTACTGGTATGATTTTCGCATCATTTCCGGGACCACATCTTTCTAATACTGGCGCTTTTATTGACCAGGTTTGTAAGAAAAACAAAAAACCACTGATTTTTAAGCAAAAATATTTTAGTAAAAGTGTTAACTACAAGTTCCAGATGGCTGGTACGGGACTTCTTGGTCTATTTGTGGCATTCTTCTGTGAACAAAGAAACCAAATTCCATCGTATCTACAGCCGTCGTTCTTTGGTATGATTGCAGCGATGGTTGGTGTCAGCTATAGCATGAATATGGGGTCTCCAATAAATCCTGCTAGCGATTTGGGTCCACGAATTTTCGGTGCCATGTTTGGTTACGGAATGGAAATGTTCACGTGGGCATTATTAAAAACTTAATTACATGTTAAAAATTTACTCTTACCTTATTCTGTCAACTTAAATTGTTTGGCTTTCCAGACAACTTAAAATACCGCAAAATTAAGAAACCAGAGTTTCAACTCTGTTGAAACTTCAAGGCAATTTTAGTTTGGTGGCTCCATACTCTTTTCAGTCAATGAAGCCAATGAACAGTAATTGTAAGAAATGTGGCCCTGTTTTATTACAAGCAATAAAAGCGATGAAGTCACCAAACTGAAATAGGGCCGGAACTGCTAGGCAATAGTTACTGTAATTTCTCATTTAACTTACTAATGTCAGGTACCAAAATTACTTCTTCTGGGTACCTGTAGTTGCTCCATTGGTTGGTGCAGTCATAGGGGCTTATTCCTACGTGATTTTTATTGGGTTACATATACCAGAACCAGCACAACCTCATATAGAGTCAAACGAGGAACTAAAGCCCTTATCGTAAAATTTTCTGAGCTTTCCATACTTGAATTCGGTTTGTAAATGTAATTCAGCCAAAAATTATAATAACATTACTATTTCAAAAATTTCAGCAATTCTCAGCACACGAGCTGTTAAAGAGATATTTAAGAGGTTCATGCTTTTTTCGCGCCTTTGCTGTACAAATGCTTTGATTTCAGAACAAATGGTCTTCCATCTCCAGCGAAGTTAGAACCTTAATTACGATGAAACATACACCTCCAAAAAAACGGGTCTTTTTAAAACTTATTAAATATCAAATCTTTTCGACTTGTCTGGATGTGCCTTCTGCGAGCGCACTGCATTATTGTGAAAGAGGGAGTCGTACTTAAACTCGCTTTACTTCAGTACAGATCAGCTTGTTGTAGCGTTAACTCCCACAGTGATGATCGCTGACTTGAGCGTCACATTCTGCTTTGAGCCTTTAAAGAAGTTTTCTAGTTTTTTTTGCTGTTTAATACAGCTTCTGCTGTTGCTGGATCTCTATGACAGTTTAATATTCTTTGTTATGCTTGTTTTTCTCATTCTTCTGTGATCAGTAGTTTTTAAAAACATTAAAAGCCTTGACGAATTTGTAATAATTTAAAGCTTCAGAAGAATGCAGTAAGGAAGTATAGCACGTCATTTCATTATGTATATTTTGCAAACTTTTGTATGATAAACAGATAAAAACTCTTGTTAGTTCATACTGTTGACAATTTCTACCGGTAGTTGGGCAGCTTTGTGGTGCTTCGCCTAAAACACAAACCTTTTTGTCTATAGCCAACGTATCATAGCAAAATGTTTCTTGCCCTCTAAAATTCAACTGAATAAACACTAAAAAATTTTGATTTTTTGAAACTTAGCTTAATGATAAGTATTATAAGTTCAGGGTCTTTTCAAGAACAAACGCAGTGAAATCTACATTAGGATCACTCCACTAAAGGGTTTTTACACGGTGAATCTCCATAGGGAACAAAGTGGCTGGTCATAATGCTCTTCTCAAGGAATGGAGAATGTTGAATATCTTAGAAAGTGGAAAGCACAAAAAATTTAATTAGATTCAGATAGGAAAGGTGCTTGTGAGGTTATATTTGCACTCTTATTTGGTACAAGTGACACGGCATATGACACAGC